GGAAGTGGTGCTGTGGCTCAAGTGGTAGAGCGCTAGCCTTGAGCTGAAGAGCTGAGGGACAGCGCCCAGGCCCAGAGTTCAGGCCCCACGACCAGACCCCAAAAAAAGAAAAATAAGCTGGGCGCCGGTGACTCACACCTGTAATCCTAGCTACCCAGAAGACTGAGATCTGAGCATCACAGTTCAAAGCCAGCCCAGGCAGGTCCACGGAACTCTTATCTCCAACAAACCACCAGAAAAACAGGAAGTAATGCTGTGGCTCAAGTGGTAGAGCACTAGCCTTGAGCTGAAGAGCTGAGAGACAGTGCCCAGGCCCAGGGTTCAAGCCCCGTGATGGACAAAAATAAATAAGTGAATAAAAACCTCAAGCAAAAAGGACTGGGGGTGTGGCTCAAGTGGTAGAGTGCCCACCAAGCAAGTGAAAGGCTGAGTTCAAATCCCTAAGAGCCATTAAGAAAAAAACAAACCCCAAGTATTCCACAATTCAAGATGGGAGGCAGTTTTGGCTCCTGGCCTTTGCAGTGAGACGCTGGGCAAGTACACAAGCTCACGCTCACACCACGAGCCCCCGCCACGTGCTCTGCACACTGGATCCATGCACCAACCCAGACCCCCGGGCAGGAGGTGCCCCTGCCTCAGTCTCCCTATCCCAGAGACCAGATGGCGGGTGCTGGAGCTGACAATGTGCGCGTGCCCGTGTGCATGCACGCACGCGCGCGCGCACACACACACACAGAGCCAAGGCGAGTTCTCACACCACCCAAACACGGCCCCCGCAGCAGCCGTGCCATATGCCCGTGTTTCCCCAGAAAGAACACAAACAAAAGCAAGGGCTCGGTGGGGTGGGGTGGGGTGGGGGACCACCCTGCTCCCAGGGCTCAGCAGGGTGGGGGCCACCCCCTTCCCACAGCAGCCCAGCCCGGGGATGGGAGTGTCGATGCGGCCTTAGCTCTACCCCCTCTCCTACAGGCCCAGCCATGGTCAGGGCCCCAGGCCTCACAGACCCCAATGGCTGCCCCTCCAGGTCGGACGCCCTCCATCCTGCCCACTTGTGAAGCACCTGCTCATTCTGTGTCCTGCCAGCTGAAGCCTTTGTTAGTGTCGTGACATACTGTGAGTATGCTCTTCCGTAAAGAAAAGAGGTCAGCTAGGGACCGTGGCTCACATCTGGAATCCCAGCTATTCAGGAGGTTGATAAGGGAGGACTGTGGTTTGAGGCCAGCTTGGGCAAACAGTTTGCAAGCCCCCATCTCCACCAGCAAGCCCAGCGTGTTGACTGCCCCACCCCCCACTCCTACACTCTTAGCCACTGGCATAAAAGGACAGATTCCGGAAGGCAGGGGTGGGATCCCCACCCAGCTCCTCCTGCAGCTCCTTTAGGTTCAGCAGGCCCAAAATATGACCCACTCAGGAGAAGTGGCCCTTGCATTTCCCCAGTCCTACTGCCTCAGTTTACCTCATGCACGGATGCCATGGTGGGTTTGGCTTTCCAGGTTTGGGGTCACGCCTGGCTCTGTGTGCAGGCAGAGACTTTGTTTCCCCTCTGCCTCAAGAGAATTACATTTTCCTTTTCCTGCAGAGCTGGGGCCGGAACCCAGGGCTTTGGGCAAGTTGTTCTCCCTGGGGGCCACACCCTGCCTCCGCTTAACGTATATAGGTATTTCTTTCTTTCTGGGGCTTGATCTGGGCACTGTCCCTGCGCTTTACTCTCGAGGCTGGTGCTCTACCACTTCAGCCACAGCTCCATTTCTGGCTTTTTGATGGTTCCTTGGAGATAAGAGTCTCACAGACTTTCCTGCCTGGGCTGGCTTTGAACCATGATCCTCAGAACTCAGCTTTCTGAGTAGCGGGGGATGACGGGCGTGACAAAGTCCTTTCAAAGAGGGTCTCCAACTTGGCAGGGTGACGCATGCCTGCAATCGCAGCATTGGGAGGCTGAGGCAGACCCGGACTACATGGCGAGACCTTGCCTCAAAAGGAAGAAAGGGAAAATAAAAGCTGGGCTGGGCGCCCCGCCTGGCAGCTCACGTCTGTTCTCCTTGGCCAGCTAGCTGACCCTCGTGTACTCGGGTAAATCAAGGCAGAGCCTGGAGCCCACTGCATCCAGGACGCCGATACCCGGGACATGGGGTACTCTCCCCAGGGGCCAATTAATGCCATGTGCATGCTTTTTCTTTTGACGCTGGATTAGAACCCAGGGCCTCGTGCATTGGAGCC